TCTCTCTCTCTCTCTCTCTCTCTCTCTCTCTCTCTCTCTCTCTCTGTTTTGGTATGTTTTTAGCGTGAAATTACATCTTTTTCTCTTTTGAATATAAATTTGGTCTGTTTTTAGTTGGTCAAGTATTTATAAGCTCGAAACCAGTTAAAGTTCGAATTGTGAATTATGAGATTTCCATTTAATTTGAGGGATAAGTGATTCATGACCCTGCAATTATAGTTTTAGGAGCTAAATGCAAGGATATATAATTTTTATTGCTCAAAATTTAGGGTTTTTTCTATTAAATTAGGCTTGTCGAATTAGGGCTTCTAAATTGAATTGGGGGTTGAGGTAAATGATTTTTTCTGTTAAATTAAGGCCGTCAAGGTGGTTGAGAGTTAGTTTTCAATTTTGATTTTAATTTCAAGGAGCTGTTTGATCGTTCTGCATATTATAAAGTTCTGATGGCGATCTTTTTTTTTTTTTTATAGCGAAATTGATGAGAACTCTGGCCGAATAACCGAAGAGATAGAGAAGTGCAAAGAGTAGAGTCTTGAGAAGAAGAGAGGCTTAGAGGAAGCCAAAGAACAAGTTGAGAAAGCTGCTTATGCAGTTTTAGAGATGCTCAACAACAAAGAATAGATTGTAGAGTGAATGTATTGAACAATACTTTCAATTACATGAATGAAGTTTATGTTGGCTTTGATGAGGATATAGTACCATTGAGAATAAGCTTTTAAAGTAAATTTGACTATTATATCATAGTTTATGTGCCCATTGAAACAATCATCCCATTAGCATTGTGAATGGGCATTGTACCGTAAAGTTGTATTTTGAGATTAGTGTATGCATATTGTCATGTTATTGGCAGTCTTTTCAATTTTAAGAAAGTAAATACAATATGTGATTTGTCAATGCAATTGACAAACCAGCAGTGTCATTTGCATTCCAGTCATGCAATTGACAAAGAAAGTAGTACTATTTGCATTTCAGTCGAGCAATTGCCATTATTTGTGCACAATTAATTGAAAATGTTAATATCATATGTGATTTGTCAATGCAATTGACAATCAGGTAGGGTAATTTGCATTCTAGTAGTGCAATTGACAATTAAAGTAGTCCCATTTGCATATGAGGCAATATTAACAGCTCAATGACATCGAAAATAAACTTTTTACAAAGCAAAAAAAGCTCCCAACCCTAGCCCCCCTCTCTTTTATCGCCGCCAGGGGGTGGCTTGCTCACCACCATTTTTTGTTGGTTACTGGTTTCTCTTTGGTGGTTGTCGGCTTGCTATGGTGGCGCTGCTTTTGGCTGTAGGATTGTGCGACACATATCTGTTAATGGTGTTAGGGTTTCCTAATGTTGTGTTGTGCTTTGTGGGCTTCTGCCTTTTATGGGCTTTTTGCCGTTATGTAGGCTCTTGGCCTCTATATGGGCTTAATGCCTTTATGTGTGCTCTATGCATTTTGTTAGTTTTATTTATAGTGGGCTCTATGTCTGTTTGTATTACATTTTGTGTGAACTCAATTATTTGAGTTCATTTTGATGTAATCTAGCTTTGACATTCTATTTAATGAAACTTGATTTCGACCAAAAAAAAATAAAAAGGTAGTCCCATTTGCATTTCAGTCTTGCAATTATCATTATCTTTGCACAATTATGAAACGTAGAATCTCTCACTAATGATAAATCCTTCATAATTAATTGTATGTTCAAACGATTGTAATCCATGTGCAAAAAACTCAGTAGAATGCATAAAAACATTGCTTAATAGAATGCAATTGTATTTTTCTTTGCAATTCGTAACTTCTATCCTTGCAATTGAATTTTATGCACATTATTGCAAACGTGGTTGCAATCATGTTATACATTTTATTCCTAGAAATGCATGCTTTATAAGTTTATCTTGAAAATACAAAATAAAATTAAACTATATATTTGGATAAGTTTATTTCCGAAAAGGAACATTTGAAATGATTAAGGGTAATTTGTCTCTTGTTTGACAATTGCCTTTGATACCATAAAAAAAGGAAAGAAGAAAAAAAGGGTATGATTTACGAGGTTTTGCATCATGATTACAACTTTAAGGTTCTTCCTAATCCCTAATCTTGTAATGTGGATCCATAACATTGTAAAATGGTGATTTACAACATTATGGATTTCGTGAACCCTAATGTTGTAATCCAGGAGCAAAACCTTGTAAATTGTTACCAAAACTTGTAAGTTATGAGCTTAGGGATTCTTTTTACGACGTTATGGTGCCCTCAGTCCTTAATCTTGTAAATCATTTTTTTACTAGAATAATAACCCATTTTACATCACTAAGGTCCACTATTACCAATTCCTTGTAATGTGGATCCATAACATTGTAAAATGGTGATTTACAACATTATGGATTTGTTGAACCATAACGTTGTAATCAAGGAACAAAACCTTGTAAATTGTTACCAAAAACTTGTAAGTTACGAGTTTAGGGATTCTCTTTACGACGTTAAGGTACCATCGGTCCTTAATATTGTAAACTATTGTTTACTAGAATAAGGACCCATTTTACATCCCTAAGGTCCACCATTACCAATTCCTTGTAATATGGATCCATATCCTTGTAAAATGCTGATTTACAACATTATGGATTCAGTGAACCCTAACGTTGTAATCCAGGAGCAAAACCTTGTAAATTGTTACCAAAAATTTGTAAGTTACAAGTTTAGGGATTCTCTTTACGACGTTAAGGTACCCTCGTATCCCAAAATTGTAAAATCGGCCCTTAATCTTGTAAACCCTCATTTTACTAGAATAAGGATCCCAATTTACATCCTCATAGTCCGGACTTACCTATTCTTTGTAATTTGAATCTATATCCTTGTAAAACAAGGATTTACAACGTTAAGGATTATGAGAACCCTAATGTTGTAATCGTGGTACAAAAACCTGTAAATCACTACCTAAATCATGTAACTTACATGTTTATGGATCCATTTTATAACGTTTTGGTACCCTCGTATCCCAAAATTGTAAGATCGGCCCTTAATCTAGTAAACTCTTATTTTACTAGAATAAGGACCCAATTTACAGCCTCATGGTCCGAACTTACCTATTCTTTATAATTTGGATCCATATCCTTGTAAAATAAGGATTTACAACATTAAGGATTATGAGAACCCTAATATTGTAATCATGGTGCAAAAACCTGTAAATCACTACCCAAATTATGTAACCTACATGAGGATCCTCTTACAATGTTATGGTACTCTCATATCCAAACTACTGTAAATCACTATCCAATCATATGCCCATTTCCAAACAGGAAGGGCATAATTGCATGACCCTTATGCAATTGCATTTTCAAAAATGCAATTGCCAAACAGGAAGGGCATAATTGCTACCCAAATCTTGTAACTTGTAAGTTTTAGGATCCTCTTACAATGTTATGGTACTCTCATATCCAAACTACTGTAAATCACTATCCAATCATATGCCAATTGCCAAACAGGAAGGGCATAATTGCACGATCCTTATGCAATTGCATGACCCTAATGTTGTAATCCTAGTTCAAAAACTTGTAAATCGCTACCCAAATCTTGTAACTTATAAGTTTTAGGATCCTCTTACAATGTTATGGTACTCTCATATCCAAACTACTGTAAATCACTATCCAATCATATGCCAATTGCCAAACAGGAAGGGCATAATTGCACGATCCTTATGCAATTGCATGACCCTAATGTTGTAATCCTAGTTCAAAAACTTGTAAATCGCTACCCAAATCTTGTAACTTATAAGTTTTAGGATCCTCTTACAATGTTATGGTACTCTCATATCCAAACTACTGTAAATCACTATCCAATCATATGCCAATTGCCAAACAGGAAGGGCATAATTGCACGATCCTTATGCAATTGCATGACCCTAATGTTGTAATCCTAGTTCAAAAACTTGTAAATCGCTACCCAAATCTTGTAACTTATAAGTTTTAGGATCCTCTTACAATGTTATGGTACTCTCATATCCAAACTACTGTAAATCTTTATCCAATCATATGCTAATTGCCAAACAGGAAGGGCATAATTGCATGACCCTTATTCAATTTCATTTTCAAAAAGTGGAAACTTGATAACTTGTATAACCGGTAACCAATTTTTAAAAAAATCTAGGAACATCATAAAGGACAAATGGTGCATGGGTGCACGTGGTGCACTATAGAAGGTGCCCTACATACAAGCCTCCCAGGGTTCATCAGGCTGGGTCTGCAGAAGGTGTGTTTTAAAGATGGTAGGTTGCGTACATTCGTATTGCCTTATTATCTTATTCATGATCCCTTTCTTCGCACATGGATTGGAATTTTTAAACTTTATTATAGTGATTAGTCATGTCACAGTGTTCAATTATTTCACAAGTACTTTTAAATCCCTAGCCGATATCACTTTGATCCAAGAGGGCCCACAAATTGCATGTTACCAGGCTCAAGTTTGTGGAAAACACAAACTTTGTGGGCCCAATGACACTGTGATAGGTACACATACACCATTTACGTGGCATCTCATAATCTATCTCCTTCGTTTTAGCAAGAGAATTGGCTCAAAGACCATGTGCGTTCAGAGCCAAACTGAGCCCGTACGGTCACATCAGCTCTTGCCCTAAATTGTAGGTCCTGATTTAATGTGCTGATTAAGCTTCTGGTTCCTCCAAGTTAGGAAGATTTTGTAAGGTGAGGTGTCAAATGAGAAATAACGTGCCAAAAATATTAATTGGAAGAAAGAAAATGAATCTTTTGGGATGAGATTCTAGTACCATGTCACGATCGAGGAGAAAAATGTATCATACTTCAATGTCGATGGTTTGGATCTTTGTGCTCATACCCAGAAAATGGGAGGTTGAGTGTTTGCAATTAGCATAGTTTATATATATTGTTTATACTATATCTGAACGGCCAATCATTTCGGGATACGTGAAACATGGTACTTTCAAAAAAATCCGCAAAACTCAGACAAAGCATTGAGGCCTATAAAACGACCATCGGTAAGGAGAGTCTTCAGCAACCTTACCTTGCACAAATCATAGGCAAGGTGAGCCTTAGGCAACACAACTTGTCGATCCGACCAAGGAAAGGCGCATGTTTTATCAAGCTAGATAAAGAACATGTGGCAGCCTCCCAAGCAATGTCCACAGTCCCACATCAAAATCTCACTCAAGGTGCACACCTCCCAAGATCTATAAAAAGGGGTGCAAGTCTCCAAAATGAGGTAACTATTACTTAGCCCTTACTCTGTCCAAATTGTTATTCACTCCGTTCTTAAGCTAACTTGAGCATCAGAGAGCCTTCAGCCAGTACCACACTAGTGCCCAAGGTCTTACCATAGCTTTTTGTCTTGCAGATCTTCCTCATATGCCAAAGAGCCCAAGGTGACGCAACATCCTTAAGTTTGGCCCAAAAGTGCTCGACTATTTTTGTGCATCAACATATATGATTGATGTAGTCTTCTTAGCTTAGTTCAAAAATTCTTTGTGCAAGATATTTGTCCTTTGTTAAAAATGAATTGATACTGTGATAATGTATCGATAATATCTTGATACGTTTTGTTATTGATATATCATCAACGATGATATTAACGCCTTATCAATATCATATCGACAATACAATTAGTCATGTTTTCACGACCGACAATAATCTATCATAGTTTTAAATTTCTTAAAATAAGATATTGTCATGGACTCCACCTCCCTACTATATTCATTATTCGATTTGACCTCCCAATATATTTCTTGTAGAAAGGATGGACATTCAACTTCTTTTGCTGGTTTTGCTCCGTGAGGGAAGAGATGGAGCGTTAATTACTCGTGTCCCAAAAAAATCCAATTATCGCTTTATCCAGCAGAGGAGTGCTTGTCTTCTTAATCTCATAAACCAGGTTCTCTATGCTCGTGATTGCTATAGAAATGAAAACAAAGTAAAATAATATTGAAATTTGATATGTTTTTCGAAAAAACAAAAATTTGGAATTGAAATGATGTTGGACCTGTTGTTTGAAGACAGCCTGATGCCTTGACTAAAGATGGATTAGTTAAAAATATAGAATAAAATAAAGAAATGCAATATGAAGTAACATAATAAATATTAAAAAAAGGATAAATTTTTTTCAAAATTTTTTTTGGTTGAATAGGTTATGATAGTAAAACATACAGACGTATATGTAGTAATGTTTCTTGATAATGTTTTCGTCTATGATCATTATTTCAGATATTATATTTGAATCTAAGACCTCAGGTGTATGGATAAATACTCTTCTCAGATACATGGGTAATGGTTGTAACGATACAAATCCCTTCACATCACCATTGTACACCTTTTTTTATAAATAAAAACAATATTAGGGAAAAGAAGAATTTAAGGCAGGACCACGTATTCATAGATAAACTCTCTTAACTACTTGAACTACAAATCAATTATTAATTAAATATTAATCAATTATAAATAAATAAAAATTGAATTGAGAAATGTGTAACATTGCAATTCAAAGTGTATTTTGCCATGACAAAAAAAAAAAAAAAAAGGGGGCTCTATCACCTTATATTGGCATAAGACATGGACTATGAAAATTGAAGATCAGAAACATGCTCAAAAGCAAAACATCAGCAAAACAGGGACATCCACAATGTGAAATTGGCTAATTCATTTGTGATCAGGATTGAATTGCCCAATTCTGCAGACATTGACAATGACATTTGAACCTTTTGAGAGATCTCAGTTACTGACTCAACCTCATCGGTCTAGTCAATTGGAGCATTCGTATCGGTTGTCAAATCATGGTGGTTGTTTTGGAAGAGTAATTTTACAGTTGCCTTTTTCATATTCTTTAACTGCCATCATTCTTTGAAGAAAAAAAATAGGGAAGTTTGCTAAAATAACCTTCTTCTTTTTTTTTTTTCACAACTTCTATTCTTAGAAGACCCTCTTGCATTAAAGAAACATTATAGGGACAACAAAGAGATATTATATGGAGTTGTGAAGAATGACTATTTTAGCACAAAACCCAAGCAAAATACATAATGTTTTTACACATGGCATTTACATGTCATGTACTTTGTCAAAATAATGAGTCTCATGCATGCCACATCATTGTAGTTAATAGATTATTTAACAGAGTTAATGGTAAGGGGCAAAATGGGACACAAAACATTGGTGGGTCACTTTAAATTTTGGGGGCAATATGAAATTTGACCATAATTTTAGAGACAATGTGAGATTTGACCATAATTTCAGGGAGCGTTAGAGTAATTAAACCTAATACACATAAGGCTTAAAAGAAAGATACAACCCCTTTGCAGATCTTAATGATTTATGCACACAACATAGATGTTTTGTTAGCTGTGTTTTTTTATAAAAAAAAATTGTAAACGTTTTATGTTTATGTTTGATGATCAAGATAGATGTAAAGGTAAATACACTTGTCATGAAGGCATGGGTAGTAGTTTTATTCCCTTCAGTCCCAGAAAAACTTTTGTGTGATTGCTTCGTCCAAGTTACTAATTTATTCAAATTATAACACACATTTGGGTTGAATTTATACTTCACTTAAAATGCAAAAAAAAATTTCCTGTAACATGGATTGCATTGTTTTGTTATCTCCAGCTAATAATGCAGTGATATATGGAAAAGTTATTCCGTATGTCATTGCACTATTGGTCGGAGATAGCAAAAAGTGTTATCCCTATTGCATCAAAGTCTCTCTCCTTAAAATGACAAGTGCCTCAATTTAACAAGTCTAATTATACTTGACACATACTAATTTGTTTGTCGATCAGCCTAACGAAACAAAAATTATTGTGGTACATGAAATTGCAGGGTTGAGTGGAATTTATACTTCCGTTAACCTCACGATAGAGCAGTTAAATTTTTTATATTGATGAGAAATCTCGAGTCTCTACATTTACGTATTGTGCATTTACCCGCATTTTGCTACATCTCAGCCATCCTAATAATCTAACCACTTAAGACATGCCACGTCGTCAAACTTGGAATTTCTTTTTCAACTGACGTTAACAATTATGCCATTAGTTTCGTGCCTTTGAGCGTCTTTACATGGCATGAGCGTATTTCTCCTGTTGTTCATCGTACATCCTTCTCCATTCTTTATATCAATGGAAGTTCAATGAAATATCTCCCATGATTGCAAGAATTTCAACTCCAGTCAGGTAAAACTTTTTTTTTTTCATTGCACATATTTTCTCCCCTTCCACTTGTGATTGAAAGATATCAAAACATGATTATTTTTTTTTCGTTATCATTGGAGGAAGAAGAAGGGACTCTAATTAAAGTTCAAACTCAGGAATCATATAAACTTTCATTGGCATCACTCTTTCTTCCCCAAAAGGCGCAGAAAAAAATATAAGTGCACTGAAAAAGAAAAAAAAAACTAATTTGACTTGATTGGACTTGAAGATTTCTGCAACCATTTTCCATCGTATACAGAGGCTGGAGAAAGATTTATGAGAAACATAGTAAACGCAGATAAAGACGCTGAAGGCACGAAGATTGAAAAAAAAAAAAGGAACCTCAAGAAAGTTAAAGCTCAACGTTAATTTAGGGGAAAACAAATTAACCAAAAGCTTGATGACGTGACATATTTTTAAGTAGTTAGATCATTAAAATGGCTGAGATATAGCGAAATGCGGGTAAATATACAATACGTAAATGTAGAGGCTCGGAACCTATTGATGAGCATAATCATCGAAAGTAACTTATATGAAATGGATGTATAACTCATTTTTCCCTTTATCTCTTTCATCACAAGAAAGCTTACACCCACAAGTCGTAAAGCCTAAATTCTACCGCAAGGATTCACATTCATCCTTGAAAAAAACGTGAATCATTGTCTTCTATATGAAATTAGGTTGCAACTTGCATCCAAGGGCTACCTGCCCCTAAAGTGATCATGGCTCCCTTTGAGAAACCTCAACTTGGGTAAGTCATTTAACACATTTACCAATTTTCGTTATGGGTCTCTATCTTACTCATAAAGTCACAGACGATAACGCAGCTTTAAATCGGTGGCCCAACCGTACAATATATCGCCACCCACCTCCCCTTCAAAAAACACATCAAATATTCCAACATTTTAAAACAAGAAAAGCAAATACAAAATACAAAAATAGAAATAAAAAATTCAATTCTTGTGATGCGTATTTATAAATACCCCACCGTAACAGTCTTCCCTCCTCACACTCTCTCATATATCATTTTCTCTTTCCTAGTCTTTTCTCTTCTTCGTTCTTCTTCACCCCTGTCCTAAATTCACCAGAAGTTAAAAGGCTGCAAATTGAGCACAAGATCCAGTCCAACCCAGAACTTGTAACTAGTAAAGTTTCTCTCTTTCTATGTTTTCTGCGATTAAAGTTCGTTTAATTTACTTAACCACATGTCTAAATAGCTGTTAATCAAGGAATTAACTCCTCAATGGAGACCCAGATCTCCTGCTAATACATGAAAGCATTTGGCTTTAAGCATGTTTTATTGAGTTTACGCTAGTGAAATCAATATGGGTTGTGCTTTGTTTGCTTTGTGAGTGTCTGTTTTTTGGGAAAATGTTGTTATTTGTTTAGGGGTACGATCTGGGTCAGTCTGATGCTGCAATTTTCATGGATCCGGGTAACTGGTACTTTGGATGCTTCGCATTGTTGGGGTCTGGTTGCTTCTTTGAAAAATTAAGTTTAGAAAAATGAAATGCTTGTTTCTTTTTTTATAATTATTAGATGTCTTTTTCAGCTTATTTTACATGAAAACGTGAACATCAGATGGAAGAGTTTTTTTCTCTTCGATATTTTTTTAGGCTGATTGTAGAGAAATGCTAAAATTTTGATAGTCCTTCCGGATTAAGGTGTACAGTGACATTTGCAAACAAAACAAACTTACTTTTGTAACACATTTTTTTTCCTGGAAATACTAATGCAGCAATTGACCCTTAAACCTAGTGTTGAAGTTTATTTTGTCCGTGAATTTGCATTATTATTTCTGTTTGTTTCTTTTAATTATGCTAGTAAGTAATATATTACCTTTTTTCTCCTGCATTTGTTACAATACTTTCTTTTAGTTGAAGTTTTAGGATTCTGAGTCAAATTCTGTATGCTGGATTATGCAGAACTCTTTGAGATATGGCTACTGAGTATAAACCGAAGAACATCCTGATTACTGGAGCTGCTGGCTTCATTGCATCCCATGTTTGCAACCGGCTTATCCGGAACTA